GTGGATTTTCTCCTGGTACTCCAGTTTCCTCCCACAGACCAAAAACATGCATGTTAGTCTGATTGGTAACTCTAAATTGTCTCTAGGTGCGAGTGAGAGAGAAAATGTTAGTTTGTCTCTGTGTCCCTGTGATGGACTGGAGACTTGTCCAGGGTGTCCCTTGGCTCTCGTACAGTGACAGCTGGACATGGGTACTAGTAACCCCTGCGACCCAAAAAGGAAGAAACTGGTAAAGATGGATGGATGGATGGATTTAACAGCTCCTGGGGATGTTTAGAGATTGGAAATCCTTTTGTATCCATCCCTGACTTGTACTTTTCAATCAATTTTTTCTCTGAGTTAAATTAGGACAGTAAAACATGCAAAGGGATGAATATTTTTTTAGGCAGTATAGAAAGTAAATTTTGATAATAGATTAAAGTGTATTTGTTGATTTTGTCATTCAGCTGAGCAGGGCAGTTTATAAACCGTATTGTAATGCATGTGTATTTGTATCCATTTTAAGTGTAAATAGTTACATACAGACGCTAAAAGAAAGATAAAACTTAATAAAAAACTAAACTTGTACCTCTGTCAGTTACACAGTGTAACAGTTTGCGATTAAATTTGTTTTATGCCTTTCGTTAAGGGTTTAAATGTTCACATTATATTTTCTTCTGTCTAGCTTATTTTAAGTGATGTTTATTTTAATCTATTTGTTCAGGATCACAGAATAGAGCAGTTTGTGTTGTCCCCTCTACACAACGTGCTTGTGATCAGCTATGAAATGCTGCTGCGCTGCCTGGAGCAGGTACGACATGTTCACCTTCTTGTTACAGGAGTTAAGTGTATGTGTCATAAACCGTTGGTTACGTACTGTAACCCCAGATTCTATGAGTATAAGCGTAGCCCTTTAAGGCCTTCGCTTTAGTGGGTTTATCCCGTTATGCAGAGCATAAGCACTGAAAAAAAAAATTAGTCCACGCCCACCTGCTGTGTGGGCCCCACCCGGTCCGTATAAATTACGTTAAGAGCGGGAAATCGGCTCCCAAAAAAGCTTTTTCTTCAGCCATTTAGGAGCCAGTGAGGCCCGACGCTTAAAGGGCTACGCTTATACTCATAGAATCTGGGGTTACAGTACGTAACCAACGTTCTATGTCGTATAAGCTTCGCCCTTTAAGGCCTTCGCTTTAGTGGGTAAAGGGCGAAGCCGATGTGGTCCTCGCCTCACTGGGTCCATTCGAACACAGTAAGAAGCGGAAGCTTGCCCAAAAAACGTCTTGTCACCCAGCTCCCCGTGTGCATAAACTACGCATCGCGTAATTATGTGCCATGCACAGACGCATGTTGAGTAACTATGCGTTCTGACAAGCATGAATACCCCGGAAAACTTTCAACGGGAAGAGGAAGTTGAAAAGAGGGGGGGAGGGGGGCATGAACCAACTGGTTCATGGCTGAACAGTATAAACAGATTAATGTCCATGAATTGATAAATAATCAAATGAACTGATTGGTAACAATAATCATGAACTGATTAGTGACAATAGAACCAGAAACACAGACACGACTGTGACTGATAACAACATCTCACACTGTAATGCGTGCAGACAGAAGTGAGCTTAAACAGAGTTCCATGAGAACAACAATATTCATTCTGTTAGGGCACTAAGGACAGAATGTGTCATGGAACGAGCCGTTACATCACGTAGGTAAAAGCGAATAAATGAGCAGGGTGTTGACCATGCAGCCGCAGTGCAAATGTCCTGCATTGACATACCATTATGCAGAGCAGTCGAAGATGCGATACCCCTGGTCGAATGTGCTTAGAGGTTGACAGGAGGCCCTAAATCTGATGCTCTGTAGGCTTCAGAAAAGGCCTCACACAGCCAGTGTGACAAGCGCTGGATGGATAACGGCGACCTGCAGAAGCATCTCTATAATGCACAAACAATTGTTGAATTTGAACGCATTGCAGCTGTGCGCGTTACGTAACACGTCAACGCCTGCACCGGGCAGAGAAGATGAACAGATGCTTCCCCTTCTGATCTGTAGGAGGGAAAAACCCCTCCAACGATATCACTCTTGATTTAAAAGAGCTCGTGATGTTTTAGGCATAAAAGCTGGGTTGGTCTTAAATCAGCTGAGCTGCCCGTCAGCCTAATTCTAAGGCATGACGAAGCAACAGAGAGGGCAGATAAATACTTACCCTCTTAGCGGGTGTTAAAACCAGCAACAGGGCTGTTAAAAGAGACAAGAATTTAAATGAAACCTGATCCAGAGGCTCAATTGAAGCTTTGATCAGGGCTCGCAGGACCAGCGTTAAACCCACTGTGGAACAAGTGGGCGTGAAACAGGCCTACATCTCTGTACACCTTTTAGAAAACGCTTCATCAGCGGGTGATAAAAGCTGTTCTGTCTCCAAACCCTTTGTGGCAGGAAGAGATGGCTGCAATCGTACGTTAAAACGTACTGAAAGCCAACTCCCTATCCATCAGCTGTTGTAGAAAAACAACACGCCGCCTAAAAGGCATGAAGTGGTCTCTAAACCTTCTCTGTGCACCAGCGCTGAAAAGCCGTCCCCTTGATGTGTACAGAACTGTGGTAGATGCAGCACGTGAATCTTGAATTGTGCACATTATCTCCTGAGGGAGACCCATCCTCTAAGTGGAACCGCTCAGCGGTCAGACCCACCGGTGTTGACCTATTTCTGGGTAACTCTTGGTCGCTCCTCCTGCCTGAAGGAGAGCATCCTTCCTCCATGACAGTTCCACGGCGACCCAACAACAGACGTTGCAGGCCTGGGAACCATAGTGCGTTCACACGCCGGGAGCCACCAGGAGAGCTGTCAATCCCTCCTCTTGAACTCGGTTCATGGACCGTAAAAAACAGAGGAGGTGGGGGAAAAGAAACGCGTAAAAAGCGTTTTGGGCCACCGACTGTGAGCAAATGCGTCCCCCCCCAGCGATGGATCGTCTCGCGGGCTCAGGGAAAACCGTAGTTGACATTGAGCGTTCTTCTCGCATCGCAAACAGGTCCACAGCTGCTTTGCCAACTTCTGCTGCGTCTGAAAACATCAGATCCGGATGGAGGATCCGGTCCACGTAACGTGGGCCGCCCTTGGACGTCACATCAGAACACCGGATATGTAAACCGCTCTAATAAAAGCAGGTTTTGATGAACCCAACTCAGTAGCTTTCGCACAATGTGTAACATCTGGGCTGAACGCACACCCTGATGGTTATGTACGCAGCAGTCATCATGATGTCTGTGTGAATCAACACGTGTTGATTCTGTAGCACAGGAGCAAGGTGTTGAATCACATTCAGTACTGTGCGACACTCCAAAACATTGATGTGGGCTGATGTGTAGTGGAGCCACAGCGCCCCTACTGCTTGAGATAGGTATGTCCCCCCCCCCAGCCTGACAGCAACGTGTCCGTGAAGACTGACCCATGACGTGGGTCTGCTGAGGGGGACTCCCTCTGATAGAAAAACAAGGTGTTTCCCCAGAGTCGGAGGTCTGCTTCCACAGAGGAAAAGACAATGATCATCCGTCGCTTGTTTTACTGGATCCACATGCAGACGTGCAAAAACACCTCTAGAGGCGTCTCATGTGATAAATGAGTTTTCATGGTGGTTGAATTTAATTCCACTCCAGAAAACAAATGTCTGGGCCGGGAAAATCGAGCTTCCTTCCACTTATGGCGAAGCCCAGATTAACAGGTGTGATGTCAACACCTGATCCTGCATCAGCGCCTCCTGTCTGAAGTGACAGGATCCGCAGATCATCCAGGTAAAGCAAAAAACTCTCGTCTCTGTGTTTTAGGATGATCGGTATGCGTTCTCTGGATGTTAAACAACAGATCCAAGAACGGTCTCACCCCTCCGATCCGTGAGTAAAACCCTCGTGTTTTCTCTCCCTTGGGGAACTCTGTAGATTACTTTTATCAGAAAACACTTGGATTTCTGCATTTAGGGAAGAGAATCAGTCTGATGATGATGACGGGACCGTTTATATAACTCCTCTGAATGGAGGGGTTCGGGTTGCAAACTGTAACTTGTACCATTTGCATAAACCCTGTCCATCCATCTGAAAAACGGCGAGCATGTTTAGCCACTCTACGTAACGTTCGTGGATGAACGTGCGTTAATGATGCGTCATGTTTTGTACGGCTGTCAGCAGTCCGTCCCTCAACCGCCGTCATGCGTCGCGGGAATGTTTTCTGTGTGACCCCGGGCGAGACTTGAGCTGAAGGCGAAGCGTGTGACAGCTGATGACGCGGTGAGCTGCGCGTTTGACGTCGCTGTGCGAACGTTGAAAGGCGGAGGGCGTAACTTCATTTACACCGTGCTGTTGGAGTGAAGGCTGCTTAGCGTTTAAGCTGCGGTGAGCTGCCGAAAGCTGAGAGAGAAGGACCCCCACCCGGACCAGCCTGCGGACCACATTTATACCGATGTGAGCTGGTTAGCGCCGGCAGCTGTGTGCGCCAGCATCAACGCAGCACCGTTGAATGGAGGCTGTCATCTTAGTGTTCGACTCGTCATGTCAAGAGCGGCGGTGAATTAAAAACCCTATTTAAGGACACCGGCTCATGTGGAGGCTGTTCCATCCCACAAATGCGAGTTGACACCGCTTGAGTGAGGATCATGCAGTTCTAGTTGGTAATGAGTTATTTTCGCTTACCGTTGTGCCGTGATCGACCCGTCATGTCTAGAGCGACGGTGAGTTTAAAAAACCTTTATTTAAGGACACC